TCCCTCCCTTCCTCACTTCCTCCCCCTGCCTCTCTTTCTAAAAATCAATGAACATGTCATCCTCGGGTGAGGATTTTAAACAAAACAACAAATGGCAAATATAAACAGATGTAGCTGTGGCTGAAATGAAGGCCACAGGGTCCATCCTGTTTGTTGGTGCGTGGGATTCAGTGCATAGGCTCTGTGCTCCCAAGGTCTTATCGGGTCTGTTCTCATGTGGGGCCATGAGAAGCTGTGTTGTGGGAAAGGACGAGGTAGTGTATGAACATCGTTGGGGTTGGTTCTTCCAGTGCCTTCTTTCATCCCTTCTTTCATCCCCAGTGACAACGCCCTCCTTCAGGGCCCAGAGATGAGTGCCATGAACAGGAGGCCATGGGGAATGGCAAACAGAGCTTAGACTGTGGTGGAGACACACAGGTTCTAGTCCTAGCACTGCCTCTAGCTAGACCAGTGGTTCTCAACCTGTGGGTCGCGACCCCTTTGGAGGTCGGACGACCCTTTCACAGGGGTCGCCTAAGACCATCCTGCATATCAGATATTTACATTACGATTCATAACAGTAGCAACATTACAGTTATGAAGTAGCAACGAAAATAATTTTATGGTTGGGTCACAACATGAGGAACTGTATTTAAAGGGCCAGGAGGTTGAGAACCACTGAGCTAGGCCTTTCCCCTTGCTGAGCCTTAGTCTCCTCTTTTGTTAAATAAAAGAATCACACCAGACAATGTCCTCATAATGTCCTTCTGGCTCTGAGGCTCCTGAGTCGATGAAGCTGGTTTGGTAACTCTGAGCCACTTTTTGGTCATTTGACCTCCTTAGGGAAACTGGTTCATCTCTGACCAGAGAACACAGTTTCTTAAGAGACGTTTCCCAAGCTTCAGACTCGCCTTCCCAGGACAGCTTGGACATCCACCTAGATGCTGTATCAACAGCTCAAACTCAACATCCCTAGGACCTAATTGTGTTGTCCCCCCTCCTCTCTCATGAACTCCCTCATTGCTCAGTTTCATTCACAAAATGATTTACTGAGCGCTTCAGGTGTGTCTGGCAGGATGCTGAGCTCTTTGGAGCAGAAAATGAATAAGAGCAGACCCTGGGCTCAGGATGTGAGAGGCAGAGGGCTCTGTTGTTACTCCAGGACAATACAGTGAGAGCCACGAGCAGGAGGGAGTGAGAAGCACAGAGGAGGAGCTCCTCTGCCAGCCCCAGAGTCAGGGGTAGGGGTGGGGTTCTGGAGTGGAGTCTGAGAGGCTGACAGGGAGGTGGCCAGGGGAGGGGGGAGCAGCAGGTTCCAGGCAGAGCGAGAACACCGAGAGGCTCAGAGAGGCACAGCCCACTGCGGGGACCTGCAGGCCGTTTGGGCAGCTGGGCTGAAGCTAGTGGGGAAGGGCACAAGAAGCTGGGCAGATCATGAAGGTCTGTAGCAGCCATGCTAGCGGGATGCTCTGGACTGTAACCAAGAGTTGCCAAATGATTCCAAGCCAAGGATGAGTGTGGCCAGATTGGTTTTGGGGAAGAGAACTCTGCAGCAGTATGAATGGTGGACAGAAGTGGGGGGCAGGGGGTGGGGGGGAGGGCGGTGAGGCAGGAAGACAGGCTTGAGATTGTGCAGGGAGTCAGGAGGAAAGTGAAGGCCTGAACCAGGATAGTGGCAGCGGGGACATGGGCAGGACTGGAAAACAGCTGGCAGGGAGTTGGCCAGAGGAGGAGGGAGCGGGTTCCAGGCGGAGTGACGAGTGGAATCTGAGCATTTTGGTCCTGTGGGTAGAGGTGCTACTGATTGCGACTGTGATGGGGAAACTGGGAGGAGAAGGGAACTTAGGATGGAATTGAGACCCTCCTGATTGTTAACGGTACCCATTCACTCCGGCGTCAGTTACCCTTTGATCCTTTCCTCTCTTCTCGTCCTTCCTTCTCCACTTTCCATGGGTTCAACCAGTTACTAAGACCTGACCTCTGAACCATTTTGGCTCTATACACAGGCTTTGGCCTGGCCCAGGTGACACCTAGGGCTCTGGCCACCATTACCTACCCAAGGCCCCACACCTCCTTCCTCCCACTCCTCAGGACCAAAGCCCTGCTTCTTAGATGAGGTCCAAATACTTGGCCTAAAACTTGCAGTAGCCAAACCAGTAACAACCTGGCTCCCAAATGTATAATGGGAGCACCGTGGATCCTCTGCTCCTATCCCAGGCTGCTTCCAGAATTAGGACTGACATGGGCATACACTGGCCTTGAGCACTGTTTCTGGGCCATCTCTCCCAGGCCAGCCTGCAGCTTTCTAGGTCTCTGCAGTGGCCTCCATGTGCTGGTAAATGACTCACTGTGAACGTGTTCCATGGGGCATGTCCTCACGGGAAAAGCTTGGTAACCCCTGATCCTGAACATCTTGGCACATCATCTTCCCATGAAACTATGCTAATAAGTCCCATAATAAGTTCACTTAATTATGATAAACTGTTAGGTTTAAACCCAAATTCTGTTCCTTAGAACTGTCTCTGAACTCTTCACAACACCTTTCCCAGCCATAAGTAACAACTAATCATATGTCATAAAAACAGAATTAGCTACTATTCATTAATCACCTTTAATAAGTTGGTGGGTTGGGTTTTTGGTTTGTTTGCTTGTTTTTGCATTTTCTCTTGGTGCTTGCAACAACTTTGAAAGAAGGTAGTATTATATCCCTTTTACAAAAGAGAGTAACACACACACACACACACACACACACACACACACACACACACACACACAGAGTAAACTTGGCTCAGAGAGGTTAAGTGCCTTGCGTAAGGCCACAGAGCTGGCAAGCAGCAGAGTTGAAATCTGAGCCCAGGTCAGTGAGGCGCACAGCCTATGTCCTTCCCACTGCACTTGGGCAAAGTGCTGGAGCTGCAGCCCGCTCCCTCTGCCCTCACTGAAGGTGCTTGGGCAGGGCCTGGCCTGCTGTCTGCAATGCCGTGGAGGGTTCGTATGACACAGACTGGACTAGATGACATCTGAGCTCCTGCAGCTTTGAGAAGCTCCGCCCATAGCAGTGTAGGCCACACTGAGGCCAGTCATCTCTGGTGCCTCTTGCCACAAGTTCACGGTCCCCTGTTGCCATGAACTTCCCTTTCTGTGACAAGATTTCAGCTTGATCATTCATTTACTCCTCAACTCGTTAATTAATTAGTTAATTAATTAGTTAATTCATGTGCCAAACACCAGCCATTGGTGTGGCATGTGAGCCACAGGAAGGAGTAATCCATGGTTGAGGTGTCGATAGTTTAGTGGGTCCGGATCTGTCCATGTGTGACCCTAAGCAAATAGGGCAGAGTTCAGAGGGAAAGACAAGAGGATCTTTAATTCTGGAGGAAGGAAGTGGGGAAGGGGGCACTGGAAAATGTAGACAGAGCAGTAGGTGAACTTAACTGACACTTGCCCAACACCTACTTCAAGCTCATGGCAGCTTTGGCTCCCATAGCAATCACTATGGGTGCACACCACAGTGAAGCTCTGGGCACACCGGGAAAGCCCCCTTCTGCAGGCTGCTGCCCTGCACCCCAGTGGTGCTCCACATGCCACAGCTTCTCCTGTGTCATGATGTGGGGGAGTCAGGGACAGGATGGTCTCCGGCTGCATTGCCAAACGCCCACTGTCCCTTCCACACTGGGTCCCTGGGTGGAGCCCTGCCATGAGGCTTGACGCAGGATGTAGCTCCTGCACAGCACACTCCCTGCAGGGGCAGAGGAGGGCTCTGTACTGCGACGTCCCTCTGTGGGTGGGTGAACTGCAC